AGACCAGTCCGTTGACAGAGGTGAAATTAGGGCTAGATAATCCCTTTCACGTTACTGTCTTGTGGGCACTGAGGAAGAAGAGTACATTATAAGAAAGGAAATCAATAGTTAGACTGCACTTTACTTGCACTGCTTGTGGATCAATAACAAGAGGTTGAGGTTCCTGGAGTTCAATTCTCTTCATGTTTTCACTGTGCAGATCAATCTGTAGCTCAGAAACATTTTGGCAGTCGTCTTGAAAGTTGTTGAGATGCTACACACCGAAAATCTCCTCAATAATATTTCCTTGAAGTTTGCAGAAAATTAATAATAAACCTTGCATTATTTATAGCGCCTTATCATGTCACCTCATCAAATTGTTGAGATGCCTCAGAATGCTTCACAGGATTTACGTAGTATTTCTGTATTTGGAGGCAAACTCAGGTAGTCAATATTTATATGGTGACATCTCACAAACAGCCACAAAGTGAATGGCTAATCTTACGTGGAAGATTTTTGGCCAGGAGAAATTGTGCACAACAAATATTATAAGTGCCAGAAGAGCTTGCAGTTTAATCTTAGCCTGTGTTTGATATCTACTGAAGATTAAAGTGTCATCCTTCTTTTCTTAACTAATTTCAAACAGATAAAGTATCTATAAAGTAGGATTTGAGGGGCAGGGATTCTTTCCACTCAGCTACTGTTATCCCGGGGTGAGCCAAAGCCCTAATGGGTAGCATAGTCCTTTATTGGACAAGCAACGGGAAGCTTGCCAGACAGTGCTCTAAATGGCAAGCTATTCAGTTTTAGTTGGTTAGACTCCAGTAATACTTCAATACAAACTCTGGAGTCCTGAAGCTTTGGCTCTTGCCAACCTGCTCCTAATACTCTCTGGATTTCGGTGAGCAGAACGCATCCCTACAGGGAGAGATAGTGCATTCCATTTCAGACAAGAGAATTTCTATGTGTAGGTGGCACAAATGGTCCTCTCAGTCATTGGACACTCTTAAGCCCTTTGATAAGGTTTCCGCACGTGTCAGGCACCCGGCTGACCAAAAATAAATATAGTGTACAAACCAATGATGATAGGATTATTTATCACCATATATTAAACTGTGTCCCGTATTCCAAAGATGCCATTATTTCCTGTGAACAGCCATGAAATATGCATGGTTTTCATAGTGGTTGAGATCGGTAGAATGGAGTGCTGCCTTTCTAGCCTATTCTGGGACTTCCTCTTCTATGAAAGCAGGTCCTGTATTTTCTGACTGTAACAAAACGGAGTTAAGAAAAAACATTCACTTTCTAAAGTCTAGAGCCCGACTGGTTTGAAGAGACTAGAAAATCTTGAAGGCAATCGGTTGGGTTGTTCTAAAAGCTGAGGTAAATGTCTCCACTGTAGGGCTCCTTTAATAGGTTTGATGCTACAGGTCAGGATTACGAACAGTGGGAGAGATTCTAGTCTTATAATTTCTTCTTTAAATGCCTCTACCTGTGCTATCCCTTATACATTTTGATAAATGAAGTAAACTGGAACATGTCACTCAGTGCAGTCTTTGCATTCACAAGTCTTTTCATTGTTGATGCTGTTCCTCTGGGGATTAACTAAAGGCAGCAGGGACAAAATTAGACTAACTCAGTCTGTAGAGACACCAAGGGTCATATTTGCACTAGACAGGCAATAAATGCACTTGCTTGCCTAGGAGCAGCATAGTGCATTAGTTCAAGATTTTCTGAAGCAAAATATGTTGTGTTCAGGATTCTGTGGTCATAACAAGATCATACTTTTTAAAAAATGTGTATTATTATTATCCGTTGAACCGAATAAAAATGAATCACAAAAGTGAGTGAGGTGGTTACAATTCAACCTGCACAGTAAGTTACTTTTTCTGCTAATGAGAAATGCAAAATTCACAGCGTGAATCACTATTTCAAATAGATTTGAACCACATGTGAAGTACAAGATTGGCACAGTAGCTGACTGATGTCTGACAGGATTACAGGAAATGTCCACTTTCAAGAATTTACAAAGCTCTCCAGATTCACTGCATATGTAAAAGTCTTCAGGTAGGAATCTCAAAGACCATTTATAAGCACATCACATCAACAAAGAGGCAAGTTAGCAAACTTACCTTTAGCATGATTACTTTTATTGATCAATGCTATTTAAAAAAATGTACAGTGACTTGCAATTCAAAGCAGTTGCATAACACTCAATGTAACAGATTCAGTTTATGTGACCAAAATTCCCAAATCCCTCATAGAAGTTGCATTTACATGGTCCCAGCTTCAAAAACATTGACTTAAAATTTAAGATTAATAAGAATTTTGGAAAGTTTCTTCATTTCAGTATTCATTTGGAAACCAAATTAAAATTGGATTCAATTGTGTTCCAAATTTCAAGAATTCTAACTGATCTTAAATATTACAATGCTATTGAGCATGTTATAATATTATCCCTTAATCGATGAATAATATCATTTCATAAACTGTTAAGTGCAAATCGTCCTGTAATATACTATTGAGTTTAATTATTCCTAATTCTGGACAGGGTTTTACTGCAGCTATAAAATGATTGTTAAAAGACATGGATGACTTGTAAAAGATTTTGAAAATGTGCTTCGAGAAAAGGTAACTGCAAACCAGTGACACCTCCATTATCTTCCAATATGTTTACACTGTGAAACTGTTAGGCAGATGTAAAGCACCAAAGATAGTTAAAACAAATAAAATTCAGCAAAAGTGGTTAAATACACTGAACACTTACCTCCATTGTCCTTCAGATGCAGAGCAATCTTTGTGTCATCTGCAAGAGATTTGAAATGCAAGTTACTGTCAGCTTCCAAGAGAGACCTATATTTAAGTGCGCTTATTAGCTTATCAGTACAAACACATGACAATTCCAGCAGCAATATTCAGGAAGCCACTGCATATTTGAATCGATTGATGTTGACAGTGAAGTTTCACCTAATCTATCTTGTACAGAATTTGCAGAGATCAATTTTGGTTCACCATAGGGAGTAAACGAGAACATGGCGATTCCTGTACAGGAGTTACTTAGCAGCCAGATTTGGTAAAATGTTGGTTATATATGACAAAGACCAATAAAAACAGCTGGACTGAAAATGGTCCAGTCAGTGTTTAGTTACACCACAGCATAAAAATTTGCAGGAATTGAGAAAAAAAACTATAAATACAGTAAAGTCCTATTATAACATGGTGTTTGTGATCTATAAAATCCCAGCCTTGCTACAGAGAGGCCCGATAGTGGAATTGACAGTGAATAAGCACAGCTGGCAAGAAAAACTGCAATTACGTTGTGATACAAAGAGTTTAACATTTTTACCTCTTACATAATTACTTTTATTGAAGCCAAATATTTAATATGCAACTTGATTTGACATATATTGACAAGCATAGAAATCTGAGGCACAATGCTCAAATGTTCAATGAGATTAGGTTGTGTAAGAGTATAAGGACTGAAATTGCTGTCAGAGTTAATGCATGGGTTATTAACAATGTACAATAATGGAAATCCCATTAGAGGTCTGATATTGTCAATGCTGTTACTCTCAACAATGACAGTACTCTCAGCCTTCTGATGTGCCTGTAGAGAGAAAAAATAATGGTAAATTCACAACATACCAGTATGAAACACTGATATGTTTTGAAGCAGTTGTCTTGCTGGGATGGCACTAACAGGGTTGTGGCTCGCAGGGCTGAAGACATGTTTGCAACTCCAAGTCTTATTGTTGAGGCAGATGGGCTGGGCAACCATCATTCCGTGCAAGATGTATTTATTTTCCATGATCCTCATTTTAACTAAGCATAATGTAATTTTAAATGGGAAGGGATGTGATAGAGTTACTTAAAAATTTAAATGGGATTGAGAAGGTAAATCCAGAACAATATTTTCAGATGTACCAATACAGCACAAAAAATAAAGCTATTTGCAAATATATATGAAATATATATATGTATATATGTTTCAAAGTGATTCAACAACTGAAGTATTAGTGGGGGGGAGAGGCAGACTTTAAAGGTGGGACGGATGAGGTGGAGGGCCTTCAGGATGAAAGCTCGCCCAAATGGCAGAAACATTTGAGTTGCAAAGGGCAATTTCAGCACAAACATCAGGGAATAGGTCTTTACTCAGGTTGCTACAGGATTCACTGGAATCACAACTCTGACAAATTAAATCCTTATGGAGACACTTATGGAATTTGTAAAAATCCAACAAGTCTAGAAAGGTTTTATAATGGAGTAATGTACACATTCTAATTCACATTGTCTACTCTACACAAAACAAGTATTAAGGAAATACTGTACAAGGGAAGTTTTTAATATGCACCTGATTTCCATCTTTCTTCTGCAAATGTTCTTAATGCAAAGTCTCAGCCTCTATTATTAGTCAGTATCAGCTTTGAAATTGAACAGTCTTTCATGCAAAACAGCTTTTAATTCTGCCTGAAAATAATCCAACAACAACAACTTGCATTTATATAGAGCCCTTCATGTGGGTGGGTGTCTTGTAGGGTGGTGGAGGTTGATGCCGAGTGCAGGAGAGAGACGATATGACTATAGGCATGATCAAAGAGGAAGATCTTCAGATACGATTTGAGTTATCATCTGTCACCCAGCCACGCGGTTGTGTTTATTTTCATCCAGAGACAGTAACTAATTACTTTGATATGCAACATTTGAATCCAACTAACAAGACATGATGTAGCTGTCAAGTTCCAGGGGTTTATTTTGCTGAGCGTTCTGCTAAGATGCACCTTCATCCTTCTCCCTCTTAGTCTCTAAAACGCTCTTATGTGAAAGCCATGTGGTTTGTTGTGTGATTGCTGGAGGGGAGCTGTATTGTATTAAGCTTAAAAAAAATGTAAAAAATATGCTATGGTTTGGTTGTACAATCTGAAAATGAAATATTTCAGGTAATATCTGGAAATTAACTTCGCGATGGGTGATAATCTTAACCATCCAGTCATGACTGGAATGTGTGCTGCTGCTACGTTTGCTCATCCATTGACAGCTCTTCTCAAATGGACTGTGGGGTTCCTTTCCAAGTGACAACAATAACCAATACTTTGCTGCATACCTTCTGTAGTTAGGCAGGATGTAGGAATACCAGATGTGTAAGCAGTTGTGGTGGCGGTGCTTAGCACTCTGGGTTTTGTAGTTGTTGTAGCAACAGTTGGTGTGGATGAAGAAGCAGGAATCCCTTCTTCAGAGCTGGTGTCACAGGTTTTATCTTTAGACTGTAACAGAAGGAGATACAGGTTTTCTTCAGCAGAGTAAGGAAACCAACCGTCTCGGGTAAGCAACTTCTCGAAGAGCAGTAGACAAATTACAAAGTCCAAATAGTGCAAGGAAACCATTGTCTGGACATAATACTTATCATAATGGGTGCAATAAGATAAGATGGTTCTTCTTAAAATTGAAAGCCATTCATCCTTTCACTTCAATACCTTTAACGTGCTTACACGTGTTATAGCTGATGGCTTTCACAACGACGATTTAATGAGGTGGAGAAACTAATAAAATTCTATTATCACTTTCATTTTGTTTTATTGCTATTTCTGGGACCAAGCACTATTGTACCTCATCTGGACAGCCATTATCAACCCAGTCCTGCCGATGACGATCAAATCCACTGGAACATCTGGATAAAACAAACAAAAAGGAAGAATGTAATTTGATACATCACCTTTTACTGTGATATTTAGAAAAATTTGGAAATAATTCCATTACGGTTTGTGCTATTCATTTTTGTGATTTTGTTTTGAGTGCATTTGAGACTAGTTACAGTAGCTCTTGGAAATAAATTAAACACATTCCTTGGGTGTCTCGTAGGTTGGTGGAGGTTGATGGAGTATAGTGCTCAGTGATCATTATAAAGAGATTTCACGAATGACAGTGTCACGTAACAGTTTCATATAAACTTCCTCCACGTAATTGTTCACAGTTACGTTAGGTCAAATTATTTGCCAAAAAAACATTTCTGAACTCTTCCAAAGATAGCTCAGCCAAGCCAACAGAATTATGCCTCAAACATCTTCTCAGCTGGGAAAATGATTTTGTTGAAATAAATGATTATTGAACATTTTTCAACTTGTCTGAAAGCTTCATAGAGAAAGCTCAATTACTGTATGCAAATGTCTCCAACATCTTTTCTCTTTGTGCATTGAAATGATATTGATAAAGTCAAAGCAATCTGCATAACCATGGTGTAAAGAATTTTCCGCTTCACAAAAACAGGTTAATTTTCCTCTTCTTTCCTTTAGCTTGCACTTAAATGGGTTTAAAAGGCTGTTCAGAACCTCTACTTCTGTGGTCCAGAGAAAGGATTTTAGATTTAGTGGGCCATAGTGGGTTAGAATTAGTGGCTCCCGAATGACAGATCAAGGTCCAAAGGTATTTTAACTGAGGCACTCAGACCTTATGCTGATAACCAGTGTTTTACATATTGAATCGCCTTTACTGTGTTTCTGCAGAGCTCGACGCCTCTACCCTGATTATAGTTATGAACATTTTTTTTGAGGTGGGTTCCACAGACCTAACCAGATTTGTTCATAGGATCCTGCCCTATCTCATATTTGGGTTGAAATTCTGGGCTGTGTTACGTGCCGTGCCTTTGGAAATACACGATAGTAATGGGTGGAATCTCACTAATAGCAAACAACAGTAACAACTTGTGTTTATATAGCACCCTTCAAGTGCGTGTCTTGGAGCCCGTGGTGCGGTCTGATGCCGAGCAGGGAAAAAAGGAGAGGTGACCATAGGCATGGTTTAAGAGGAAAGTCTTCAGGTGCGATATGAAGGTGGACAAAGAGGGGGGTAAGTTGGAGGGATTGAGGCAATGGCAGTGTAATGCCAACTGAAATTTTAACCCAATTTGAGTTAGGCCAGTACACTCAGCAAGGTAGTTTTCGGGATTTGAAAACTTAAGTGAGAATCCAAGATGGTGGCTCTCGAGGCTTTTTGCTCCCCTTAGTCAGAATTCGTGAGGAGGGAATTCCAAAGCACATTTTAAAATCATTACTTAAATCTGAAACAAAATGTGTTTTAAGAATTTCACAATTTTGACCCTGGTAACTCAGGTAATGACCCTGGTAATGAATTCTTTTCATTCCCAGAAATTGTTTACTTTAAAAAAAACTAATATAGTATTGTCTTATAAGCTGTGAGCTGTACAGATAGTTTCTTTCGCACACTTTCCCTGAAAGAAATGATCTTGCACTACCTATTCACAGATGATCCTTATTTGAATTTAAGACCGCACAGAATTGTGGAAAAATTCTTACATTTTCAAGCTGGTTTCTGCAGTTGTTGAAAAGAATTCATTTCAAATTTAGAATAAATTTATGATTTTTCCATAATTCTGACATCTTAACACAGATGTTTTTTCAGACTAAATGCAATTTTGAGCCGCAGGATGGGGTGCCCTTGTTCTGGGGAGAATTTCACGAATAGAACAGAACATTGCTTTGCAGAATCTATTAACAACCCTGAATGTGTAAGATTTCTTGCTTCACTCAACTGTAATGGTGATTAAGCACTAGACATTGAGTATTTGTTGTTGTTTCACTGTACTTTGATGATTGTTGGTAGAATACGAATTTTAACAGGTTGCTTCACAACTGGCTCAAAATACAGCAATAAGAATGTTGCTAAAAGTAGCACTGAGCTCAGGAACAGCTTCTGAAAATTGGCTTACAAACACACGTCACTTCACTTTACAGTGATTACTTGTAAAATGTTTTGAGATGTTACAATTCTATAGCTACATTATCAAATGCAAGGATCATTATTTTTATTGTAATAAAATGTAGTTTTTCCTGCATTGCGTGTTATTTTATCAGGTTTGTATTTAGCAGTAAATAGAGAGGGGATTTTGACATCTACGATGTATTAAAACTTAATTTAAACAATTTAAAGATTCAGACAAACTCCTTGTTGGTTAGAAGCAGCGGAAATGTTAGCAGTAGCCAATATTGAGTTCTCAACCTCAGTTGTCCAATATTTTCTTCTTGGTCTATTCAGAACTCCTTAAAAACTCCTAACACAATATTTGCAAACATTGACTCCTGCCAATATTTGGAAGTACATTACACCACTCAAGTAGATTGCTTTGGAGCAAAGTTCCCTCGGGTTGGAAGACACACTTCCAATTACTGTCAGGATTTTATTATTATTATTACTGCTTAGAGTTTGTATTTGTAACCTGTGGTCAAAAATTCCAAAAAAATTAAGATTGTACCTAATTGTTGAAAATCTTCAGCCTTAATTTCAAAGCCAGTTTTCAGATACTATGACCCTCTGTCTCACACCCTCTCCCTGTATCTTTAAATCCTGCCTAAGACCCTTCCTCTTCAATTGGATCTATGGTCATCTTTCACCTTTCCCCCTCTGCTGCTCAGCATACAACCTCATCTTTACTTTATCTTATAGCAAAGACGTTATCCTATGTACTATATAAACGTAAATTGTTCTTGTTTTCCATGGTTCTCAAAAGGAAACAGCTTCCAAATTGAGAATGAATTTAAGAATTTCTATGATTCTGTGTGATCGTAAATTTGAAACCAAAAAAGGCTAAGTAAGAATGGATTCCGAGTTACTATTTGCAAATATTGCATTTTAGATCTGAATGTGCTTTAAAGTCGTTCCTTATTTCAAATCTACTTCCAAATCTACCTCTGCTCTTCAGCTGCGAATCCATGTCTGCTGATGTTCTGTCAGCTTGTCTGGCAGACATCATTATCTGGATGAGCGTGAACTTCCTGCAACTAGATGTTAACAAGACGGAAGCCATACTCCTTGCCTCCAGTCATCTCTCCTGCATCTCTGATCTCTTCAATCTCTCCTGGAGGGACACATCCTGCTAATCCCAAAACGTATTAGGCGCAGTTGGAAACAGCCAAGGCTTGAAGTCTAACCAGCTAAAATCGCATAGCTTGCCATTTAGAGCACTGCCTAGCAAGTTTTCCCACTGCTTGTCCAGCGAGGACCATCCCACCTGTTAGAGCTTTGGCTAACACATTAACATGAGCTGAATTGGAAGAGTCCCTGTTCCCAGTGACTGGTCTGCCCTTCCAAGTCCTGCTGATGAGCCAACCTGGCTGTGCTGTCATCAGCAGTGCCCTGGAATACTGGACTCCTAAGACCGACTGTCACAGAGCACTAGCTCGCGGAGCAGAACAAAGAGATTAAAAAAACAGAAGAATTAAATTGTTCGCTAAGCATGAAGACCAGTTGGAGGGAAGAACATTTGAAATAAGTTCGGCAAATGCGAATAAATGGTGCATTGTAATTCGCAGTGAACTCTGGATCATTACCCTTTGGGATTTTTACAGTTGTTGTGTAAATCCAAATGCTTTTCTTTTCCGTCGAAATATGAGACAGAATAATACCTTGATATATTAGTGAATTACCCAGTCTGTGCTTCAGAATTTCCAAAATGTACTAAAACTGCAACATGCAGGTTCCACAGTATCCACACTGAAGTCAGATAAATTACTGTCTCATAATGCTATTAAAATCAACTCAATGAGTATTATTGGCATACTTGGCATTCCAAGCAAACTGAGCCCAACGCACAATCATCGCAAGAGTTTAGAATAAAATGCTTCTGATTTCTTACCTCCCAAATGATCACAATAAGTGTATTTTGCACAGTACCCGTTTTCACTGAACCTAGACAATGCTTTGCATTGTAGAATAGGTACAGTATTAACAAGTGTGGGTTAGTAAGATAGAAATGTATGCAATAACTTGTTTTTCTCCTCATTATTATGCTACACTTAAAGCTAGTGATTGATATTAAAAATTACAAGCTTTGGACAGACATGAAGCAGACATTAAGCTCACTGCCTTATCAAAATTAGGCACCCTATCATGAATCTTTATGAGATATTTATAGATTTCAATTTTTAGTTCCTTTCTCACAGTCATCCATTTTCCTCTTCATGAACTTGAATCTCCTTTGCTTTGTGTGAATATCAGGCACAACGTAATATAGGTGTAATGCTATTCAGTGCTGACTCTCCACCACAAGTGAGCACATGAAATGTGTTGAAAGAACAATAATATGAGTTATGGTGTAAACGGTGTTATTAATTGGTTTCCACACAATGACAGTATGCACAACGGGGTGCCTTTCCGTAGAATCAGGAGATGGATTTTAATTTATATTTGTGTGTTTTTCAATGTGAGGGATGTCAGTGCTCAGGGACAAAACATTTTTCTGTTGTTGTCAGCAGCAACCATTTCAAATGAGGATTAGCATCAGTCAACGAGTGATTACACCTCGCTGTATTGTGACACGACAGTATGCCTCAACCTCAAAAGAGAGGCCCTCTACTGCACCAATATGAATTTACCCATTTACCATATCAGCTATCTTTACTGTATTCCTGAATGCGATTGCTAATTTAGTTTCAATTCATATCAATCTTACTTCCTATTGCAGCCCCTGTCCCCTCCTTTTGATCTCATTCTGCAATCTCCTTCAGCTGCACTCTCCCGCAAACTTTCTCTGCTCTGCAAACTCAAGCCTGTTGGACTTCCCTTAGCCTCTTTGTCTCAACATCGATGGCTGTGCTAAAGATCCCATGGCACCATTCAAAAAGAGAAGGGAGCCTTTATCCCAACGTCCTGGCTATC